TCAAAGTATGAATCAATTCAAGCTTCCCATAGACAAAGACTTGGTCTGAATCCATCCGGTCCTTTAAAACTTGAAGATGTCAAACATGCGTGAGTTACTTGAAGATGTTCAACACACACACAAAAAAAGCTAACACATACATTCATCTAATTCTCACCAAAACTTGTTGTCTTTTTTGGGATCAGATATCGAGCTTGCGCATTAAAATGGCATCCGGATCGTCATCAAGGCCTTTCTACAAAGGTAAATAGATATCAAAATCTCCTTCTTTTCAATCTCCATTTTTAAGTGGTACGTTTTCTCTTGTTATATCTATTAACAGGATGAGGCTGAAGCAAAGTTCAAGCTTTGCAATGTGGCTTACCAATCTTTAATCGAAAAGCTTGCAGTGAAGTGAAGTAAGATTTTTTGAGAGGGTGATGTTAAGAGTTAGATACATGTTTTTGATTAATTAATTACTTAAGAGATTTCAATTTAACTTTCTGATTACATTTTTATCTCTGATCCAAGCAAATGAATGTAATCTGCCGGTTTTGTGTCTGAACCGGTACTTTTGGTCGATTTTCTTGTATTATTTTAATCAACAAGTGAAACCAAAATAATTTGGATTTACGCAAAGTTATCTTCTCAAATGTCAAAACTTTGGTGAGTCGAGATTGATTGGCCAGCGATGGAGAACAGTCATTGACGCCGGAATCTGCGACGGAGAAATCTGAAATTCCGGTGAATCGCCGAGCGTATAATGCTCAAGGCTGTTCAGATCTTGGGTTGGTCATCAGGGTTAACCATCTCACAGAGATTGACCAAGACTCGAAAATCTTCGAGCTCTACTTTCATCTCTACATCTACAATAAACCCTCTAAATCTCTTCACTTCGAGCAGCTCTCCTCGGAGAATCCTCTGTTTCAAAAACTTAACAACCCGAATGTCTTCCTCACGACCCGGATCCGACCCAGTTCCAAATTCTCCGACTTTCGTCTCTGTTCAATCAGCTGTGAGTCCAATCCAATCCAATCAATCTCCTCGAAAGATTCTTGTTTTGGGTCTCTTCAATGGTGGT